TGACTGCTAGAGATGGTGAGCATTTTTTCATGTACTTGTTGATTGACTGTATGTCCTCCTCTGTGAAGWGTTTGTTCATGTCCTTGGCCCATTTGTTGATTGGGTTATTTGTTTTCTTGTTGTTTAATGCAGTGCCAATCAAAATCCCAATGGCATTTCTTGTAGAAATAGGTAAAGCAATCATGAAATTCATATGGAADAATAAAAGACCCAGAATAGCAAAAACAGTTCTAAGCAGGAAGTGTATATCTTGTGTCATGAAATCTTGCTGATCCCATTTCTTCTAGGAAATTTTTTTCATGGGTTTCTTGGCATTTTGCATATTCATATCATCTATGGACAGGGACCTCACACCTGGTGGTCAGACCTTGGTGGTGGCTTTTGCCTTTGTTATCAGAGCTCAATGCTTGTTGTTTACTGATCTCTTCTCAGACTTCTGCTACTTTTTCTTGCTTATCTGGGGGAGGCTGAGGTATATGATTGTGGAAACCTGCTTCATTCTGCTAGTGAAAAATGAGAACCCCAAAACCAAAAATGTATACAGGAACAAAAGAAATATGTTTGTTGTCCTTCATCCAGGTCCCATGTGGAGCCAGAAACTTGAGAGTGTCTTGTATGCCTGTTTGCTAGTGTGCTGGTTATTTAAGGTTYCTAGAATTGCCTCTGTACACTTTGGTTAGGAGTTTCTGCTATAATATCTCTGTTTCTCTAGGGTTGCTGTAAGAGAAGAGAGTGGCGAGTAATTGTAAGATTGTATGTTTTTTTCTTAAATTGATTAAAATTCAATCTTACTGATATATTTCTTGATTTTTCTCTTTAGGGCAGAAAAGACGGAAGTCCTGAGTGAAGACCTTCTTCAGGTAAGGTTATCACTGACCGCGTGGCTCAGGGACACCAGAGATGCTTTCCCTTCTAGGACTCAGCCATTGCCTGGGCTTTCTTCTTCCACTGYCCTCTCTGCTCCTCCTACAAACTGGAGATACCACCTTTTGTCTTACATGATGGTGTTTGACATTTTGAATACAGTTGACCCCAACTCCCTCACTTCCACTGAAAAGAGATTCTAGATATTCTTAGACATCCAYGTGGTTTTATTACAAGATATCTGTGAGCTAGGAGGACTTTTTTCTCCTGCCTTAAGTGTATTCAAGTCCACATCGATAGATTCAAACAACTATGGGTCCAAAATATTGGAAAACGGGCCTGGGGGCATAGCTCAGTGGCAGAGTGCTTTTTCTTTCATGTGCAAGTCCTGGGTTTAATTCTCGGCACTGGAGGGGGGGGAATGAATGAATGAATGAATGAATAGATAGATAGATAAATAAAATGAACAAGCAAATATATACATATATATATACACACACTCATATATAGTATATGTTCATATGTAAATAAATAAATTGAATTGCATTGAGAAATTTTGTCAGTACTGAACACATATAGAACTTTTTTTCTTGTCATTATTCCCCAATCAATACAGTATAACTATTATTTGTATGAGATTGATATTGATTCGGTTTTTAAACTAATCTAGAGATGATTTAAAGAATATATAGGAGGATGGGTGTAGGTTACATGCCATTTGATACAAGGGACATGAGCATTTGTAGGTTTTGTATCCGTGGGCGTTCCWGGAACACGTCGCCTGCAGACCCAGGGACAGCGGTGCTGGTTTAGGTGGGGTCCTCAAGGAGAGGTTTAGAGTCTCTATTAGCAGGAGAGCCCCAGAGTCTGTGACTGCACCCCCCACCCCAGCTCTCTGACACTGGGTGTTGCCTTCCTAGAAGTCCTTGTCTCTGTGAAACCGTGAATCGTGACTGCCCAGACTGACATCCCCACTTCTCCAGACTTTGCCTGCACCCGTGACGCCTCCCGCTGTTCTGTCTGCAGGTGGAGAAGCGCCTGGAGCTGGTGAAGCAAGTGTCCCACAGCACACACAAGAAGCTCACGGCCTGTCTGCAGGGCCAGCAGGGGGCCGAGGCCGACAAGCGCTCTGTAAGTGCCTTCTGCTGAGCCCCCCACCCCAGCAGCTTAAAACTTGCCTCCTGAAGGCAAGGGTTCCAYTCCTGGGGCCTCATTTCTTGTGGCTGTTAGTGAAGCCCTATGTGTGTCTGAATCCGCCAAGCACACCTAGCTTCTTGTTTCTGGAGAGTGAGGACCTTTTCCACAGTTCTAGATCCTTAGCCCTGGTTAAAGTATTGCTCATTCCTCATGCAAGGTGAGGTCCCTCTCATCCTCCCCCARGGTAGGACCACCAGGAGAATGGCACTGGCATGCTTAAAATCCCACCTGCAGGGAAACTTTATCCTCAATGGTGGACATCTGTCCCCTGAGTCAGCTCATTCCTAGAGTCCATTAGCTTCAATAGTATCTTATGATTGCATAAGAAAAATTATACCATGGTTTCAGAGGTTACAAGTGACCTATAAAGGCCCTTGGAAACGGTTTTCACTGTAATGAGACCATAAAGAGAGTCTGCCAAATAAAGCTACTCTAACGTCTTTGTTTATAACCTACATCGGTAATAACAGGCGTTGTGTGATGTTCTATTTCACAGTCTTTGCTGTAAACCATCTTTACAGTCTCACTTCCCTCTTGACCCTAACTCCCTCGCTTCCACTGAAAAGATATTCTTAGACATTCACTCGGTTTTATTACGAGAGATTTTGCAAGCTAGGCGGACCTTTTTCTCCTGCCTTGAGTGTACAGTCTCCATGTTTTGCGTCTGTTGGATTTATTTATTTTTTTGACCTGAAGTTATTGTTGACTTCTGCTTGCTGTGGTCTCCTTGAATCCCTGAGCTGATGTCAATCTCATCTCTGTTGACAGTTGTGTAAAGCACCCTATGCTTTCTCCTGTCTCCTGTTGAAGTACAAACACTGTTCTGTTAACTTTATCAGTCATTTCTTTTTCTCACTCGAGCCTTGGTTTCTTCTTTCTTAATAATACAGATGATTATCCCTAATCCAAAATGCTTCATCCAAAATATTTTGGAGTTCAGATTTTTTTTTTTCTTTTTGGTACTGGGGAGTAAATCCGGGGATGCTCAACCACTGAGCACATATCTATCCCTTTTTTGTATTTTATTTAGAGACCTTGTTATGTTGCTGAGGCTGGCTTCGAACTTTTGATCCTCCTGCCTCGGCCTCCAGAGCCGATGGGATTACAGGCATGTGCCACCGTGCTCAGCCTGGATTTCAGATATTTCAATATTTGCGTGTACATAATGAGTTTTTTTTTTTTTTGGGGGGGGGTATGGGATACAAGTCTAAACACAGAATTCTTAGCAAGGGGACCTGTGACAGTTGTTGGCAGGTCCTGAAGCTTGCAGCCACGTGTGTGCAGTTGAGTCTGCAAACTGGAGATCTATTTAGTTGACCTGGAAGAGGTTTGCAGTGGAAGGAGGTGCCCAAGCATGCGGAGATCAGGGATTTCACTGTACAGATTTTAACTGATCTTGTCAGTGATATCTTGGGCTGATCAGTCTTTATCATCATACGACTGAGTAAATGTTCTGAAAGTCAAAGAGCCACTTAAAGTTTAAAATGTTACTTTTGAAGTTAAAAGTATTTAACAGTCATAAAAAATTCCAAATCCTGACTCAAGAATTTTTTTTTCAGTTTTATTTTTCCCTAAAACTGCACATCAGAAGATTTAATAGGAAACATGACACTTATGAATTGCCTCAAATACTGGAATGTGAGCTCAGTTCTTTTCGATGGTCAGGTAGGGAACTGTGTCAGGATCTAAAGAATAGGGGGAAAGGAAGAAGGATAAAAAGATGGAAAATAAATGAATATATAAAAGGGATCAGTTAAAGAGCAGAGGGAGAAATGAAAGACCAAATACTGGCGATGGAAGTGGGGTGTTAAGCACGGTTCAGGAGATGGGCAGTCACCCTCTGCCAGCTGATGTGAACAGGGGTCAGCGCCTCTCATTCCTACAGTGGTCACAGAGCCTCTCATTCCTACAGTGGGATTAGAAGGAGTAGATATCCATGCAGTCCTGTGCTTCCTGGGATGCATATGAATCATTGCTTCCTATTATTTCTCTTTTAACAAGCTCATTCGCTCTTCAATAGTTTAGTTATAATGTCTAATACTTAAAATTTTATCATACAGCTTTAGAAGTTTGGTGCTGAAAGTTATGGCTAGTTGCCGGATGGAAATGGGCACTTTTCTGTTACTCTCTCAGCAACCATAAAAAGCATCATCCTTCTGTGGATATCGAGTTAGACCAGATTCCCTATGTAGGATGGAGAAGAGAAAGGATATGAATGAGGCTTCCATTTTGCCTCACTTAATCCAAGCTCATAATTGGTTGGTTTATAGGTTCTTAAGATTGTCAGCATAATGAAGATGTTTTAAGTCCTTGCATGTCTTACAAGGAGGTCATGTCCAGTAATCTGCTAGCATGTGCAAGTGTTTCTCCACCCAGAAAGTAGCTGTGTCATATATTCAGGTCGGTGCTTCATGCTAGGAAGAGGAGCTCACTGGGAATACAGTGGTARTTTTCCACCAGCAAGTGGCTGTTTGGAACAAGCGAAGGATGGCAGCACTTTTAAAAAGGGTATAAATGCTTCCAGGACAGGTCCAGTGTGTGCTGAGTCCCCAGAGACAGTAAGGAATCTGACTTTTTTTTTTCCCCCTTTGTAGTACTGGGCATTTAACCACTGAGCTATAGCCCCAGATGTTTTTAATTCTTGCTAAGTGGYCCAGGCTGGCCCCCAACTTGCAATCCTCCTGCTTCAGCTTCTCATCACTGTGGCCACCCCATCTGGCAGGAGTATGAAACATAAAAGGTAGCCAAAGCGACTAGATCATAAGAAGAGGAAAGGGGCGTGAGATGGGACCACAGGGAACCTGATCATGCTTTCTAGGCCATGGTGGGGATTTGGACGAAATGCCTAAGATGGGTGGAAAGCCAAGGTTTTATGAGGGAGTGATATGATCAGATTCATAGATGATTCTGTGAGCAATGGATGAGTGGGGTAGGGACCGTGGTAGAAGTGAGAGCCAGTTAGACAAATATGGGACAGATCTAGGTGAAAGCAGTGGGAACAGGGAAGATGGAGAGAGAGATCCGCTTACCTGCTAGGTGCTGGAGGTAGAATACCCAGACCTGGTAATTGAGTGGATGTGGGGGTATGACAAGAGAGGAGGGGGTTCATACACTTTGGCCTGCGTGACTAGTGAATCCATGAAGTTGAGATCACCCATCAGGGAAAACAGGGGAAGAGGACAAATKGCCTTTGAATCGAGATCCCCAGGAAGGGTGGCATTTTCAAGCTCTACCAGAAGGATCTAGCAAAAGTCTGCCCACTTGCTCAGACCTGAAGACTCTTCCCTCTTTCTATCTCATAGTCAGACTTCCAGTAAATCCTGCTGACCYTCTGCCAAAGAATTTCTGTTTCATTGTAGCATATGCCACCCCTTTTCTGGGCAGCTGTCATTATACATCAGTTCCTTCTGGGTTTCCCAGATATAGGATGTTGGGGCTGGGGATGTGGCTCAAGTGGTAGCACGCTCGCCCAGCATGCGTAAGGCACTGGGTTCGATTCTCAGCACCACGTAAAAATAAAAAAAAGATATTGTGTCCACCTAAAACCAGATATAGGATGTTCCATCCTCTATATCAGCCCATGAGTATTTAAAATGGAAATCAAATCCTGTCACTCTCTTGCCGAAATCCCACCAAAGGATTCCCACTGTAGAATAAAATCCGAACTCCTTTCTAGTTTTACGTCTTTTACCTGYGTCCCTGTAGCTCAGCTCTTGCTCCCGTCCCTGTCAGTCATCCTTCTCTTGCTGTGTTGATGGGTTACCGAACCCACTGAGCTGCATCCCTCTTGGAGCCTTTGTGCTTGCTCTAGTCTTGATGGAATGCTCTGACCCACAAGTTCAGGCAAGCAACTTTTTTRTTGTTCAGTTCTCTGCTCAAATGTCACCTTCTCAGCAAATCTTTTCCCAACTGTCTAATGCACCGGCTCCTTCCCTTCCCCCATCCCACCACCTAACATGATTATTTTCTTCATAGCACAAATTAGCATCTGAAATCACTGTGATCACAGATTTCCATCACTGATGTGTGAGCTCCATGGGAGCAGAGATCCCGATGTCTCTCTATTAGCTGTATCCTCAGTGCCTAAAACAGAGGCTACCCACTGGTAGGCAGTGATAAAAAACAGATCTGTGTCATGAATGGATGACCTATGAGTCATTTAGGCACAGAACCTGCCTAACAGGCTGCCTAACCAATTTGAACCCTTCCTATTCTGTAACAGACCATTTAGCAGGACGGCTCTGAGGTGATCTCTGCATCTGGCCACCCAAGGGCGAAGCTCAGCTCTATACTGCTTCCTAATTTTGCCTGACCTTGAACAAGTTAATCACTTCATAAGCTTTAGTTTTCTCATTTCAAAAATGGTAATAACAAGGGTAATTTCCTGCCCAGTAGGGCTGTTTGACAGATCAGGAGGCAGTGCCTACAATTGCCTGGCAYAGTGCTTAAGTGGATATTAAAGAGATACAAGGTGCTGGTTGCCATTGGTACTGCCCACTCTTAGGCTCAGATGGCCATGGAGAAGAACTAGTGAGCCCTGAGCAACTGTCCTGGGCTATGTCTWTGGGGGGCTAAATCATAAAAGTGCTTATTGCCTGGATTTAAACTTTGAGGACAATCGAAAGCAGTTTTTGGAGGAAAAAGTTTGAGAGAGAGTGTTTGGGGAACCGAGCAGATACCAGAATGACACGTCTTGCTTGGGTCATCCTTCAAAGCATTGCTTATGCCCAAGGTAATGTTCAAGAGAAGAGTCATCTCCGACTTTTCAGACTAATACATTCCAACTTGAGACAGTCTGTCTTTCCTTCTCTTATTTTTTAAAGTTCTCTTCGAACTCTAGAGGCAAGGGAAAAGTTATTTTTAGTACCTTCTCTTTGATYCTGAAAAAATCACTGGCCAGCATGAAGTTTGCTAAGATGTTCAGAAATATTCACCGAGGACTGGCTGCAGCTATTTCAGGGTGGACCCTTGGCAGCAGAGGTAGACAGATTCCAGCAGCTCTTGCAGATCTTGGGGTGGTTTTTCACCCTTTGAAGACTGGATGTCCTTCTTTCATGAAGTGGGGTGTGGGAACAAAGGATGAAGAGAGAGAAATAATACCTCAGAGCTGGGCGGTCAGTGGGTTACATAGGAGTTGCTGCTTTGTCTGGCTTCTCCTGAGCCCTCTATTGACTCTGGTGGACTTTCAGAAACAGAACTCATTCGTAGTTTATCAGGGGTTATAGTCCATTAACGTCTCATCTCCTGCCTTGGATTATGGATGGCCCTTTCCCTTGTCAATTCTTCCTTTGGTCATTTGGGGGTGTCTTTCCAATCTCCTCTTATTAAAGCATCTATTACCAATAACAACTCTATGTGATTTCTGCTGAGTTTTACCCACTTGACCCTGCTTCTCCCACCCTGGGAATGGACTTCATGCCCTCTCACTTCACCTCATACTTCTCTCCTAGAGGCAGTTACACCATTGGTAGAGGAGTAAATCCGTTGTCATCTTCGTTCAGTGATCTGGGTGGCCGTTAAAGCACATAAATAAAAGAGCAAGACAGCTGTATATGTGACAATAGGAAGGATATGAAGATACCTCTGTGTGCAAAGGAAGCCCAGGCTCAGAGGGGTCTACCTAGTTAGGCTAACATTTGTGGGTAAAAATACCCAATAAAAATGGATATACAAACACACACACACACACACACAAAAAAAAAAAAAAAAAAAAATTGGATCTTCTTAGAATATTGGTGGAAGGATACGTAAAAGTCTGGTCCCTGTCGTGGTATCTGGTGATGGTGGATTATCTGATGAGAACAACTCAGAGGAGGGAGAGCGTTTTGGCTCATGGTTTCAGAGGTTCAGACCATGGTTGGCCAAATCCAGTGCTCTGGACCCGAGAGGAGTCAGAGCAAAGGGGATGATGGAGGAAAGCCACTCAGTTCATGACAACCAGGTAGCAGAGAGAGAGAGAGAGAAGAGAAGGGGCTTCAGGGAGGATGTACCCCTCCAGGGCGCGCACCCACCTGCCTGCAGTTACCACCCATTCAGTGCATTTAGATTTCAGCTCTCATCATCAATTCATTTCACTTCCCGGAGGAACATAAGAACCTTTGGCGGATACCTCATATTCAAACCTCATAATACGTATGCATCTATTTCCTACTCGGAAATTCATTGATTTGATATGGATAGATAAATAGATAAAGTTAGAGAAAGAGAAATGTTATTCTCTTTGTTAAAATCTTGAGAATTAAAAGCAGTGGGAACACAAAGAATTTTGTAGTACTTTGTCACTTAATGTTCTCCTCTTTGTCACATAAGAGCATCAAACGTCAGTGTGAGTGTTGAGTGACTAGAAGTAAGGTCACTTTCAAACGTTTTTGGTCTGAATTTTGTATGATTGACACTTCGCCTGTTTGTTCTCTTGTTATTGACCCTCCAGGGCTCTGATCCACTTTAGGGTCCTTCACAGTCAATTTTAGGGTTCTTCCAGGGCTGTTCTTATTTTGTTGATATTGACCTTCACACCTTGGTCACCTGTCACCCTCCAGGACTCTGATCCACTTTAGGGTTTTTTATGATCCACTTTAGGGTCCTTCATGATCAACTTTAGGGTCCTTCTGGGGCTGTTCTTGTTCTGTTGATATTGACCTTCACACTTTGGTCACCTGTCACCCTCCAGGACTCTGATCCACTTTAGGATTTTTTATGATCCACTTTAGGGTCCTTCTGGGGCTGTTCTTGTTCTGTTGATATTGACCTTCACACTTTGGTCACCTGTCACMCKCMCCGTCTCYGATCCACTTTAGGATTTTTTATGATCCACTTTAGGGTCCTTCTGGGGCTGTTCTTGTTCTGTTGATATTGACCTTCACACTTTGGTCACCTGTCACAGGCACCGTTTTCTGCTCAGCTCAGACTGGACCACTTAGACGAGTCTTTTTCCATATTTGAAAAAGCCCTACTCACCGCCTGGGGTATTTTTCTGAAGGACGTCGTCCTAGGCTATCTGAAGTCCTCTTACTCCGTGATAGGCACAGTCCTCCTTACTGCTTTGTCAAAATTTGAAGACATTCAGGAAACCGGAAGTCTTACCTTGAAGGCAGGTCATGGGGCTGTGAACATTCATCTCCAATCAAAATGGCCTTTATGTGACTGACCGATGTCCTGAATATACTGACATTCTGGTGGAGCATCTTCACTGGTTTCTGGGATATTTGAGGAACTTGGAAATTACACCCGGTTTCTCAGCCTTGGCACTCTTGAAATTTTGTGCCTAGTAATTCTTTGCTGGTGCATCRTGGGACGGTCTCTACCCACCTGATGCCAATAGCATCTTTCACATTGTAACAACTAACCTCGTCTCCAGAGACAGAAGGTAGAGCAAGAACAAAGCTCAGCGTGTTCATAACACATCGGCACAGCTGAGGAGTGATGACTGACAGGGAAGGAGGCCCATAGAGATACAGGTATAAGATGGATGTCCCTAGGACCAGGTCACCCTGGTTGAGAATCAGTACCTTCATCTCCACCCTCTCTCTGACCCCATATTGGGATATTAAGCCTGCTTTTGTTAAAAACACACTTTATTTGTCTACACTTTTAAAACATACTTTTGTGACCAGAAATGTTGGGAGGGTTTCCCYGTTGCCACGTAATTCTTCTACTCTGAATCCTGGTTGGGTGTGAACCCCAGCTGGTTGTCCTACAATTCCATTCAATTCGGACACTCTCTACCTGGAGTTTCTGTCACCTCCCACAAGTGCAGGACTCAGTCCCACCAAACAGCTCCCTCCCCYTCACCTTAGATGCCAGGTGTGAACCCTGGCCTCTGGCATGGGTGATCGACCCTTCATAARTCGAGGTTTCCGTGACCCCTCCTCGATTTGTATCACATGCTGGAATGGCTCACAGGACGGTGTATCAGTCAGCTTATGATAAACGGTATTACGAAGGGTTGAGCAGCCAGATGAAGAGGTGCAGGTGTTTATTCCCTGTCTTCCCCACTGGGAAGTTTCCAATGAGAGCAGTGCCTAGGTTGGCTCACTGCTCACTTCCATAGAGCAGCTCCCTAGGAAAGGACACCAGGAAGCTCTGGGCTGGACATTATGTGGCACCTTCATTTGAAGGATGGTCCATATGGCCACAAAGAGTGGAAAATGCAAGGATATGCCAACAGTCCGGACCTTGTTGATTTTCTTGTGCTGTCTACCTGCATGTGCTTTTGTGCTAGTTGGTCTTGGCTCCGTAAGGAGAGGGCTTTTTGTTTTTCAAACCCAGCAGGTGCTTAACCACTGAGCCACATCCCYRGCCCTTTTTGTTTTTTATTTAGAGACAGGGTCTCGCTGAATTGCTTAGGTCCTYGCTAAGTTGCYGAGGCTGGCCTTGAACTTGTGATCCTCCTGCTTCAGCTTCCTGAGCCTCTGGGATTGCAGGTGCGAGCCACCATGCCCATCGGGAGAGGGCTTTTGACATTTAGAAAGGGATGGGCCATGTCACAGTTTGTTAGTAGTAGTGTGCCTTTCCCTTCCCACAACATAAAATTTACCCTTGTAGCTGGGTGTGGTGGTACAGGCCTGTAATCCCAATAGCTTGGGAGGCCGAGGCAGAAGGATTGTGGCTTCAAAGCCAGCTTCCGCAACTCAGTGAGACCTTGTCTCTAGATAAAATATTTCAAAAAGGGCTGGGGATATGGCTCAGTGGTTAAGCACCCCTGGGTTTATCCCCAGTACCAAATAAATAAATAATAACATTGTAAAGTGTACAGTGATCTTAACAATAGTATACACACACCCTAGTTGTAGRTCATTCTCGTCATTCCAAAAGGAAACCCTGTACCCTTCCCTTCCAGCCCTTGGTAACCATGAATCTACTTTTTGTCTATATGACTTGACTTATCATGGATATTTCATATACATGGGATCATACAATATGTGTCTTGTGTCTAGCACATATCACTTAGCATGAGGTTTTTCTTCAGGGCCATCTATATTGTAGCATGTGTCAGGACTTTGTTCCTTTTATAGCTGAAGAATATTCCACGGTTTGAATAGACCACATTTTGTTATTCATTCCTCCATCTGGAGATGTTTGCATTGTTTCCACTTTTTGACTGTTATTAAAAAAAAATGCTGTTGTTCACACACATATCCTGTTTGTATGTCTGTTTTCACGTATTTGGGGMGTGTATCCAGGAGTGGAACTGCTAGGCCACAGGGTCATGTGGTCCAGCCTATTGAGATACTACTAAGCTTTTCCACAGTGCCGTGCCATTTTATATTTCCATGAGCCACACTTTTCTCCATATGCTCACCAATGCTTATTGTCTGTTTTTAAAAGACATTAATATTGTTACATCCATGGTATCTCGTGGTGACCTCAATTGTACTTCCCTAGTGGCTGATGAGGTTAAGCTGCTTTTCCTGTGCTAGCTGGCCACTTGCWTGTTGTCTATGGAGAGTACCTTTATTTTGACTTTCTTCACAGTATAATTGTATGTGAACAGTTTTCTCTCTTCATCGAAATCTGCTTTGTTTGTGAAGTGGGGCTGATAGACTGAGAAAGAAGTTGAGTGTTGGAAAGTAAGGCCTTGCTCAAGTCTTGGTTAACTTTTGAGATGCTCTCCTTTTTTTCCTGCTTGCTGTTGTATTTTATTCTAAAAATAAACCTTAGGCTTATTTTCCAAAGTGATACCTTTGATTCAGTTTTAGTTTTCTGAATTTTGAGATCTCTGAGTACCTCCCATCATCATGTGCTCTGTTTTAGGTTTAAACATATTTAAAGTCAGTTTGTCTCTTAGCTCACATGAAGTTCTGACATAAAGTACCTGACTTCTTGCCGTTGTAGAGTACCAGTGGGGGACCACTAGAAATCATTCTCATGATGCTATTTGTTTCCTTTACAGAAAAAGTTGCCTTTGACGACCCTGGCTCAGTGTTTGATGGAAGGGTCAGCTATCCTGGGAGATGATACACTTCTTGGGTAAGGTATCACTCTGTGTGGGTTTGTGCCAAGTCTGGGTAAGTCCCCATCGTAACAAAGGGGACTAGAAATCCTCCGGAAGCACCGAGCACCCCTGAACTTCGGCCAGGAACTTGCATGGGAAAGGAGAAGGTGTTACCATGGAGAAATCAAAATCCTCTCACCTGGAGAGTTATCGTGTCTGTGCAGTGAGGCGAGTCCTGGTAGAGAAATTAACATAAAACAGGTGAAGGGCAGTTAAAACCCCCAGGCCTTCAATCCAAGCCAGCGGCCACCTCTCAGTGTCTGATGTCAGAACTTAGCGCCTCCCCCAGGAGAAGAAGCCTTGCTGGCGGTGAGCTCACGGTAAAGCACACTAAACATAGTCTCCCCAGAGAGCACCACAGGTTCTCCTACAGTCAGCACCGTCAGTACCCTAAGGACCTAAGGTAACATGACAGTAWGGAATAAAGTGTAAAATAATGACTTAACGTGAAATTCCACATCAGCAAAAGGCAAGGAAGATCCTTGATGAAACAGTCAAATGATAGAAGGGGAGAAAAAAAAAAAAAAAAGAATGGGTGGAATTGAATAAAAACCAAGGAATGGATGTCTTAAAATCAAAGTGATTTATGCTGATATTCTTAAAACTTGGTTGAGATGAACGGRAGGTATCACAAACGGGTGAGCTTGGAGACAGATCTGAAGTTGACAGGGAGCAGGGGCACAGTGAAGGACAGAAGTAGGGAACAGGTGTAATTAGATGGAGAAGCATGGGAGAGGGGGATGCACAAGCAGGGCACTGGGTCTGTAAGGAGTTCCTGGAGAACAAGGATGGAGGAGGAGGAAGTTTGCAGTTGAATTTTTTCTTTTCTAGATTGAAAGGAAAACACAGGGTTTAAAGAACATCAAAAAGTCCCCGTTGAGATCGATAAAAAGAAATTCACCCCTAGACATCGGGTAGTAAAACTCCAGGTTATAAACAAAACAGAGAAATTTACAAATCAGTCCGAGAAAGAAGATCGTGACCCGTAAAAGAGCAGCGAAACCGATAACAAACTATTCCTCAGCCAAAATAAATGCCAAGAGCTAACGGAGGAATATCTCCAGTAGTRAGGAAAATACAAGAAACCTAGAATTTTGCGATATCGTTATTCCAGGCACTAGGGAATGAGACGGAGAAAATTATGTTCCATGCGTGTGCAAATATGGCGTGATGAACCCCACCACTCTGTATAATTACAGTGCACCAATCAAAACTTAAGAACAAAAATGTTTTTAAAAAATAAGGGAGGATTAAAGATATTTCCAGTCAAGGATTTACGACTTGCATGGTTCCATCACGTTACTACTTGTGTATTTTCATGGTGTAAGTTAAGGCTTTATCAAATAGATAATGTACAGAGGAAAGTTGGGAAGTGCAAATAACAAGGAATAATTTAAAACTTGGTGAAGCGTTATAGGGAAGGGGACAATTTTTTTTTTTCCCTCCAACTGTTTGAGGTTCTTTGGCTGAGGTTCTGCAAATTRGGTGGACCAAAGACAGATCCATGACAGAAGAGCATACACCTTTCATCAGTATTGTTACAGGCATCCTAGGTCAGAGGCCTGACTCCAGGGGTCCCCACTAAGTGGGTCTAGCCATTCCTCCTAGAAAACCAAGCAGAAAAGGTCATGGTGAAAGTAGGAAAGGAAGCTAACCAATATGGCCCCGTGGGGAAGGCAAAGTGAGATCCAGAGTCTCAGCGCTGTCGTTGCTGTCTTTGGGTAGTCTTTGAGTTCTTTTCCCTTGAGGGGCCAGTTGTCACTGGCTCAGGAGGCTGGTTTATCAGACCTGTGATCTGGATGGGGGTGATGATGAGGGACTTCTAGGCATTGGTTCAGGATGCCTAGAAGTGTGCTGCAAATCTTGTCTCAGTCTTCAAGGGGAACGAGACAGATTAGGTAAACTTAGGGCTAATAAACCTTGTAGTGCTACTTTTTAGAGGAGCACTCCCTAAATGATGAACATGTAGATTACATGCAGAGCTGGAGAGGGGCGTGACCCAAAGATAAAGTAAGAAAAGAGACACATATAAAATCACGGCAGAGATGCCCAGCTTTGCCCTGCTTTGATTACTCGTAGGGCATCTGTGTGCCTAAGAGTCAGTACTTTTAGCCAAGGCCTCTTTTCTCAGTCCCTGTTGTGATATGTGTAGCACATACACATGGGAGAACACAGTGATGAGTAACAGAGGAGTGATTGGAACGTGGGCTCACACAGCATCTTCACAGAAGAACAGTCATTTTTGGAGAAATGACAAGACAAAGGAAAAGGAGTTTCCTGGATGAAAGACTGTGGGAAGGTAAATCTATGGGGAACTCATGGACTATAAGGACTAGTTAACTGGTGATGTCTTGTGGTTTTCCTCTGGCTCCATCTTGGGGCTAATTAGGGCCTAAAGTTGTTGCCTGTGATTAACTTCAGTTGTTTCTGGTAGAGAAATATGTTTGTCAGTTTTCTGACACTGTGACAAAATACCTGAGACGATCCATTTAAGAGGGTGACAGAATTATTTTGGTTTATGGTTTTCGATGTTTCAGTACATGGTCAGCTGGCTCCATTGCTTTTGGGCCTGTGATGAGACAGAACATCATGGTGGGGGAGAACATGGCTGAGCAAAGCTACTGACTTCAGGATGGCCAGGAAGTAAAGAGAGAGGAAGAGACTGGGATCCCAACATCCCCTTCAAGAACGTGCCCGGATGCAGTGGCACACATTCCTGTAATCCCAGAAGCTCTGGAGGCCGAGGCAGGAGGATAGCATGTCAAAGCTCGCCTCAGCAAGTTAGTAAGGCCCTAAACAACTTAGAGAGACCCTGTGTCAGAAAGAGAGAGAGAGAGAGAGAGAGAGAGAGAGAGAGAGAGAGAGAGAGAGAAAGTGTTAGGGATGTGGCTCTGTGGCTAAGCACCCCAGACCTAGGTTCAATTCCTGGCACCCCCCCCCAAAAAAAAAAAGCTTGCCCCCAGGGATCTGACTGCCTCTGATTAGGCTCCACGTCTTAGTTTCTACCACCTTCCAATAGTGCCACAGGGTGGTGGCCAAACCTTTAACAYATGGACCTTTGAAGGCCATTTAAGACTCAAACCATAACAAGAAGAAAAGGGACACACTTTTGTATGTTTATGTTCCACTTTAGGCAAATAGAGGGAGGCAGAAAACTCTTAAAAAAAAAAATCTGCTGCTTTTCAGTTGCATTCAGATCAAAATAATCTTATGCCAAAGAGGTGTATTTGGGGGTGGGGGGAGGCTTACTCTGTTGMCCTTAATGTAAAGAAAATAAGCATTGAATCAAACGCCAGGAATGTTAGGGCGATTAATTCAGGGGGGTAGATGATAAGCAAAGTAAGACTAAAACACTAGATAATAATAACTTGAAACATCAGAGGGAGAGTCTGTCTTACCAGATCTTACGTTGTTTAAAAGAAGACAGGAGGCTGGGATTGTGGCTCYGTGGCAGAGCACTTGCCTCGCACGCACGTGTGAAGCCCTGGGTTTGATCCTCAGTGCCACATATAAATAAATAAAAAATAAAGGTCCATYGACAACTAAAAAAAATATTTAAAAAAAGACAGAAAAGAGGAGTAGATATAGCTTCCAAACTAGTAGAAAGATGAAAAAGCATATAAATTGGAGGAAAAAGAAAACTCACAACAAAAACTATTAGAGGAACTAAAAGAGAAAAAAAGTAAGTGAAGGAAAGCATGATAAATAGGAAACAGAGAATCATGATGAAAGCAGTTGCTGTGTGCGTGCTGTCGTCATCAAAGATGACCAAAAAATAAACATGAAGTCCTATTACGTGGTGTTCCCAAGAGGCTTGTCCAGGACACAGTGATGGAGCAAGGTTGGAAGTAAAGATCAGCGACTGAATACACATCCAATTTTATTTCCTTCCAATAAACTATATTAAAGAGTTATATATTTTTTTTTCCTTAAAAGATATAAAACTACTGGGTGCAGTGCCTCACACCTGTAATCCAAGCTACTTGGGCGATGGAGGCAGGAGGGATTGCAAGTTTAAGACCAGCCTGGGCAATTTAGCAAGACCCTGACTACAAATAAAAGGGGCTAGGGATGTGGCTCAGTGGTAGAGCACCCTGGGTTCAATCTGCATGCAATACCACGCATAGAACACACCTGCAAAAGCCCCCTAGCCACAGACCAAGCATGGTGGTGCACACCTGTAATCCCAGCAGCTTGGGAGGTTGAGGCAGGAGGATTGCGAGTTCAAGGCCAGCCTCAGCCATTTTTTAGCAAGGCCCTGTCTCTAAATAAAAAATAAAAAGGATTTTATTTTTATTTATTTTTATTTCATTTTACAGGATTTTATTTTTATTTTTGTTGAGGATGTGGCTCAGTCGTTAAGTGTTCCTGGGTTTCWTCACTAGTACCTCACACACAGATTGCATGTGCAAATGATCTAACTGCAGTGGTAAGGAAAACAAGAGAAAGTTTATCAGCAACRTAACTCTGTGAGCTGTGAAGATCACCAACAGTGAGGAAGTRCTAGGGATGTAGCTCAGTTGCAGAGTGGTCCCTTTTCACTCCTAGGAAGGAATGTCTGGTTCAGAAAACTGACCCCCAAGCCTAAAGTAGTATGAAGAGATCTGGCATAACATACACCAGAAAATGCTGACGGTGCTTAGGAATCGGTGGTACTGGGGACATTTGTCTTTGAGGGCGGAGTGGGTGGAGTTAGGATAATGAATGCATGGGGGGGGGCTTTTTAAGTGCCATATGACTACTGAAACCCTGCCCTCTGCACACCTCCTGGAAATGTCCCTTCCCCCAGACAGTATGGTCTGCAGGTTTACTGTTTCTTGGGGGTGAAAGGAAACATCACTGGATCTTGCTCCATAGATGCTGAGAGACTCCTCCATGCTCCCTCCCCTCTTACCAGGCCCCAGGCTTTATCCTCCAGGCAAGAAATTAGAGAGGCATTCTCTAGGAATCTGAGCAGCCCCCAAAAGAAGGATCTGAAGCTTTCAGGACAGTGATGGAGGCAGTGCCCCAGTTAATGGCCGACCAAATCATCCTTCAGGCAAGCGTGTCACAGCCCACAAGTTTTCCTCCCTTACGCTGAATGCGTTCTATGTTCGTCTCCACCTGGACTCTAAGCAGCCATCAGAGATTCCCAGATGTGTGAGGAAAGTCTTGAACCTGAATCCTKGAGACCAAAACAGTTCAGGGCGGGGGAAATGCCATTTGGATGAAATGGAGATTGTCTGGGGAAGGAGAAGGTTTCAAGGCGACTATCATGATTTCAAGGGGTAAAAGAAGATGGTCTATCCATGGATTAAAATCAGGATATTAGTACAAGAAGTTTATAGGGAAGAAACTTGCAGAGATCAAAAACAAGCTCATAGAAATGAGGAAAAAGATGAKAGCAGATGTGAAACTCTCAGTAGAAGGTTTGACGATCAATTGRAGGAAATTACCCAGAAAATCAAGCAAGAAAACAAAGAYACAGCAAATAGAAAAAGTTGGACAATTAGAGGACTGATCCAGGAAGACTTTGCCTTGAATAACAGGAGTTCTTAGAAAAGTCAAGAATGAAATGATATTAAAAGTTCTTATTGTAGGGGCTGGGGATATAGCTCTGTTGGTAGAGTGCTTGTCTCACATGCACAAGGCCCTGGGTTCAATCCCCAATCCTACAAAACAAACAAAAAAACCTACAAAAAGTTATTATTATAAAAATAATTCCAAAGCATTTTCCAGACTTAAAGTTCCTGGATTTCTATATTGAAAAGGCCCATTGAATTCCCAATATAATGGGAAAAAAATTAAACCTACGCTGAGACTCACAATTATGAATACGGGTGACAGAAGATCTTATTCCTGCTAGGAAAAAAAAAATGTCGTATTTCAACAAGCCAGAATTGTGAATACTTCCCGATTCACGATAAATCTAGAAGATTATTAAGAAGTGCCCTCAAAATTCTGAAGGAAACACTGCTCAGCCTCAAATGCAATATCCTGCCCTAGTATCAATCTGTGTGAGGGCAGAGGACGATACTGTGATACATGGGCTCTGAAGACTTGGCTTCCCGCACACTCYTTGTTCTCAGGGAACGAAGGCATCGTGAAGATGTAACCAAGAAAGACATAAGATGACAGAACATCCAGCACAGGACACAGGGACAGAGAACCCTAGGAAATGCTGAAGGAAGATGTCAGGATGATAACTGTACCCGAGGGATAGGGATAGAAGCCAAGAGAACTTGGTCAGGCCGTACAGTCCAGGAGACGGGAATTCAAGAAGACAATTCCTTCACGTCAGAGGTGGTTCACTATCTTAAGAGACAAATTAGGAAAGTGTCAGGGGTGTCAGGCTTAACATGTACACAGAACATGAAACAAGCAAACTGAAACAAGGAATTATTCACTCCAGGGAGAGCAGATAAATGGGCAGGAAGGACCAGTAATCATAGTATGGTACTCAGCTCAACCCCCCAAACAGGCTGAGTAGCCTACTATGTGAAATGCTTGGGAACAAGTTTTTCTGACTTGGGATTTTATCAGGAATTTGGAATATTTGCATAGTCCAGTTAAAACATCTCTAATCTGAAAACTCTGAATCCAAAATGCTCTAAAGTCCAAAACTTTGAAAACTGCAGGTTTTTAAATTAGGAATCATACCCTGTAATATAGTCAAAATATAAATACCGAATATGTACTGGTATAAATAAATGGAGGGAGGGTAAATGTAATCAAAGATAAAGTCTTATTTTTCATAGTTGATGGTCAGTAGCTTTAGGACAGGGCTTTAGCAAGATTTTAAAAAATTAAGAAGTAAGCTGGGTTTGGTGGTGCAAGCCTATAATCCCAGTGGCTCTGGAGGCTGGGGCAGGAGGATCAGAAGGTCAAAGCCAGCCTCAGCAATTTAGCCAGGCCCTATGCAAGACCCTGTCTCAAAAAAAAAAAAAAAAAATTAAAAGGGTTAGGGATGTGACTCAGTGGTTAAGCATCTCTGGTTCAATCCCTGGTACTTAAAAAAAAAATCAATAAGTAATATTAGACATATAGGGATAAAGGACCCGAAAATCAGATAAAAGACACCATTAAAAAGTTACAAAGATAAAACTACAATCTGGGAGTTGACATTTGCAACGAGGATGAAAAGGTGTTAGAATCTAATCTACATTMACCAATTTACGTGCAAGTGTCTAAAGAATTTCTAGCCAGGAACGATGGCACTCGCCTGTAATCCTAGTGGCTGAGGCTAAGGCAGGAGTCCGGGTCATGAGTTCAAAGCCACTTAAAACTTGCAAGGCCCTAAGCAACTCAGCGAGACCCTGTCTCTAAAAATAAATAAATTTAAAAAAATGCCAACATAAAAAAATTTAAAAAACAAACAAAAAAGCTAGGGATGTCTCAGTGATTAAGGCCCCTGGGTTCAATCACAGTGCCAAAAAAAATTTTTTTTTGGGGGGGGAAAATCTTTCCCCCCTGACTTTTCCATGGGATAATTAACTGCCCATCTTGTACTAATTAAATCTTCATGGCTTAGGAGCAAGGGAGTTTTGGTATGTGTTTGAAGATGTTGGTGTGTTGGTGGGTCACTTGGGTCAATCTTAACTAGTTTCTCCAGGATTCCCAGGGGACAGATTAAAAACATCTGGTTCTTTTTAGGTCTGTGGATTAGACGTACACGGATCTATTTTATCCACATTTCTGTTATGTTTTCCCAAAATGTCCCCTTTTGTTCCAGGCACAAAGGGAGTCCTCAGCACTGTTTGGAGGAACTGATAATTTCAGAAGTGAAGACAGTTGGATCAGGGAGTCACTGGCTGCTGTGGGAATCAACTGGCTTATTGACATAGACTTGGGCAAAGTTGACCCCCGCAGGGAGGTGACGGGAGCATAACTCGGGCAACATTGTTGTCTTCAAGGATGTTCAGTCTTGTTTTCCCCCCACTTTGTTACAGGAAGATGCTGAAACTCTGTGGAGAGACAGAGGACAAGCTGGCTCAGGAGCTGATACATTTTGAATTGCAAGTGGAGAGAGATGTGATTGAGCCCCTGTTTCTGCTGGCTGAGGTGAGAGGCAGGAATGAGGCCAAGGCCGTGTGTCCCTGGGAGGGCCCAGGGGGAGCTGCTGAGCTCACCCCTCCTGCAGCCTGATTGCTATTTCCATCCCGTTCCTCATTCCACGACCTTCTGTCTTTCATAAGGAATCATCACCACCTGGCCCCATGGTCAGGGTTCCCAGATACGGCAGCCCTTGCCACACTTCACCATGGCTCCCCCTCATATGCAACCTCCTGTGTTGCCATTCTGATGGGTAAAGACGTAAACATGGCTGCTTCACTTCCTTTCCTGCTCCTAGTCCTGTCTGCCACCCTCCGCCCCCTTCACCTCTAGTGACCCGAATGGCCGGCTGTCCTCAGAGGGAGTCTGGGATCTGCGAGGCCTCTTGTGGGTGATGTTCCATGATTGTGACAAGATACTTGAGAATATTAATTTAAAAAGAAGAAAGSTTTATTTTGCCTTTTTTTTTTTWAAWTTTTTTTAGAGCTTTTAGACTTTAAAGTACACTCCATTAAACTATTTAACTATCAAGCTAGCTTCATGACTGTGTGGCAGTTTTGCTGACTTCTACCAAGTGCAATTTTACCAAGAAAGACCAGAGATAGTTGGGGAGTTTGAATTGCCTAGGACCCTGGACTCCTCCCAGTTGTCTTTAATCCGCCATATGAGACCTAAGCAAYGCGCTACCTGGGCACAGTTGGGTATCCTCAGCTTTACGTGGCTCTTGAGTATTTTAAACATGGTTCGTGCCACACAGTGCAACTCAGTTTTTAACTTTATTTAATTTTTGTTAATTTAGATTGAGGGTCACAGAGTTGCCCGTGACTGGAGGCCACGGTGCTGGGCAGCATTGCTCTCAACCGTGTCTGGCTTCCTCTCTGGATCACCCCTAGGATATCCACATCCACATCTCCGATTACCTAGAGGTAATTGGAGAGGAAAGTCCTAGTTGTAATACTTTGACATAAGTTGACATAGACCAGCTGGAGCATTCTGGGTTCCATCCTGTGGCCAGGCATCCCCTAGCTTAGAACATTCATGAGAGACCCTGTGCTCCTCATAAGGCAGGATAGGACAGAGTTTTCTGGCCAAAGCCCGAAGCAACCCCAGGAGCAAGGATGACCCGGAAACAAAGCCGATTCTCCTGCATGACCTGTAGGAAGACACGTCTTGCTCCCCAGCCTTGCTCTGGACCCGTCCACGGGCACTCCAACTCCCCCTTGGTGCAGGAAGTTGGTGCTCTCAGCTCCCCACCTCATCCTTGCTCCATAGAGTGAATGGAACACTTCAGGGAACGTTGGGTTTTCCTCATATTTTCCATATATATATATATATATATATATATGAAAAAGAAAATAGCCTGAGATGATTTTAGTTCAATTTACGGCCAATTTTCTTTTTTAATTCTCACATCCTGCCCTACTTTTGCTGGGCCTGGAACCAAAATCCTGCACTGGAATGTTCAGGGAAGTCATTTTTAGAAAGAAAAATATAAAAAGAGCATCCACATACAACCAAGTTGGAAGTACTCATCACAGAGGAAAACCAGGATGGCAGTGTTTATTCATTTATTTACTTTGGAAAAAAAAATCTTACTTTATTTCTATAAATATACAAATATGCCTACTTTATTCATGCAAATGTAAAATGTCTCTGTTCTTTCTGTTCCCCTTGGCATCTCAGATCTCCTGAGGCCAGTGCTCCTTCGATTCCCACTGTTTTTGGTTTTGGAGTTAGGTAGGAGTGTCAGACGAGACTTTTCAGCTCTCTTCTCCTGAGGCCGGTGCTCTTTCCATYCCCACTGTTTATTTTGAGTTAGGTCTGAGTGTCAGCTGTGACTGCTCAGCTCCCTTCATTTCTGTCCTGTTTTTGCCCTGATGGAAGTAGCAAGATGTGGTCAAGCCTCTGTTTGCTGGCTGCAGTGTGGCCAGGCCTAGGAGAGCAGGGGAGCCCAGAACTTCTGAGATGGTCAGAGTTGAAAAGGGGCCTGGCAGGTGTCCAGAGAAGAGACAACAGTGTATAATTCAGGATGAAGAATCAGGAATGTCATCTAATATTGGCCAGAGGAGACTGCGGTAGTCAGGTTTCCATGATTGTGACAAGATACTTGAGAATATTAATTTAAAAAGAAGAAAGGTTTATTTTGGCTTATTTTTTATTTTTTTAGAGTTTTTATTTCATGGTCAGTTGGCTCTTGTTTTGGGGTCTGTGAAGAGGCAGCACATTATGGCTGGAGTGCATAGTAGAGCAAAGCTTTTYACTTGGGGGAGGCTTGGAAGCAAAATCAGAGATAGGAAGGGGTCAGCATTCCCAATACTCCCTCCCTGCAGTAACCTAACTTCTTCCAACTAGATCTGTCTCCCCAAATTGCCCCAGGCCTTTTGCATGTGGACTTTTGGGGAACATTTAAGATCCAAACTGCAATAGGTACAAAATTTCATTCATGGAAGGTGAGTAAATTTATGTAGTTCTAACGAACAGCATAATGTGACTCTAAATAATAACACTGTATTATGTATCTGAAATTTGCTAAGAAGGTAGATCTTAAGTGTTCTTATGGTGCGCATGCACACACACAGTGTTGCAGAGGAATAACATGGTAACTATGCGGGTGATGGATATGTTCATTAGCTTGATGATAGTAATCATTTCACRATGTGTACATATCAAAACATCAGGCTGTACACCTAAAATACCAACAGTTTCTGCTTCTTCACAATTATTCACAATTAAGCAGAGGAGGCAAGAAGGCATTCCATCTGAAAATGAGGATCAAGACACTACTAGAAAACTTGCTGTGTGCCTGCCAATAGTTTTTAAAGAATTGTCATAAAGAATAGTTCTGAAAGAATTTTTCATGAGCTTCAGTTCATGTGTCTCGTCTTTTGCAACCGCAGGTGGAAATCCCAAATATTCAGAAGCAGAGGAAACATTTAGCAAAGTTGGTGCTGGACATGGATTCCTCACGAACCAGGTAGAATTTTTTGGCTTTTCTTTTCTGCATGTCTGGGAGTAGTGACCACGTTTTGGGTGGTGGTGGTTTGTGTGGGTGAGCATGATCCGTCCTTCACTAGGTTTTTTTTTTTTTTTTTTTTAAACATCTGGTGCAAACCAGGCACTGGAGAAGTAGACACACTGGGTCCCTGCTCTTGCGGAGGCTGCAAATTGGGTTTGGAAAAAGATATCGGGCACGTGAACAAACAGGGCAATCTCAGGCAGTCATAAGCCGTAATGTACAAAGTAATTCTAAGGGGAATGGTGCAGACAGAAGTATCAACATGAGGTGGGGTACAATGAGGCTTTTATTGAGAACATGTCAGTTGGTCTAAAACTTCAATGGTGAGGAGGAGGCAGCCATACAGAGATCTGGTGCAGATTGTCTATAGCAGAGGGAACACCCAAGTGCATCCTGAGGTAGGGGTAAATATGGCATATTACAGGTGCAGAAAGAAGACCAGCATGGCTGGGGTGGAGGGAACAAGGGGGGATGTGGTAGAAGAGAGGATGCAAAATGTAGGATGGATGATACATCATCGCTCTAGTATGGGAAGTGTCCCTAGTTCTGGGGATTACTGCCCTTCTGAACTTGGTAGTATAGGTAGATATCCCTTCTGTAGTCATCCTGTAAACCCGAGGCCCTTCTGAGAGAACTTCACATCTTACAGGACTGTTCTAACCTGCTTCTCAGAGTCCACCAGAAAATCCCTGTAGCCTGGGAGTGCCAGAGGCCCCGAGATAGCACTGTCTGGCTGTCATCTGTGGAGTTGTACTGTTTGCCCTTTGGTCTTATGGGGACGGGGGCGGGGGCAGGTACCACTAGCACACACACAAGTGAATTAGTGAAAGTTCCTGCGTATTCACCTGGAAGGAAGTGTTTACTTCTACCTTAGGTCTTGTAAATCTTCATTATGTCCACATCTCATTTTATTTTTCTCAAAATGAAGAAACAAAAACAGAATGTGCTTGGGTGAGGGGATATGGGACAAAGTCCAGCCATAGGACTCTGAAGGTCAGGTCCTGAGATCCCGATCAGCTACTTTCTAGATCTGTGACATTGATAAAGTCACTTAATCTCCCAGAATATCCTTTCCCTCACCTGTAGCATTCGTGGGCAGACCTGAGAATGTTGTTTTGAGTATCAAATGAGGTGAAGGAAGTCACATCACATCCCAAGTACTTTACGAAAGGAAGCCCGAACTAGCACGACTTGGTGCCCGGGACTTCTGCACCTGGAACAGTGAAAGGCACAGGGCAGTTTCCCAAGGCCAGAAATAAAACAGGTAAAACCAGCAGAGCAACAAGAGTTCCCTTAATGAGTGTGATTTCCCAGACCTCAATCCACCTGAAGGATTTTTGCCATCGGTGCCTGTAAATCTTTCCAAAGTAGTTGATTAATTTTAAAAATAAATCTATTTTTCACAGGAATCTGATAGCACTTGCCATGCATTGGGAAGTGGTGCCCTCGGTCCCCAAAGAATGATGGCAGTGTACCCACAACTTTAGGAGGAAGAATTACCTTTCTGCTCTTCAAGCTTCAAAGCTTGGACTCTTCTTGGACCATGTTCAGTCTCCCTGTTTCTTCTCTGAAAGAAAAGTCCGACTCTTTTGAGTCTCTTTATGGAAAGGATGGGCTGAGGAGACTGCCGAACCTTGAAATGCATGGTTCATGTTGCTTTTCCCAACAGTTTATTATCTGTACGATTTTTTTCCCAAGTTCCCCTTGATATTTTGTTACTATCATAACTATGTTATAATGTATATTCATATATATTGCCAATAAAATTCCCTAGAGAGAGGGTAAGGGGGCATGCTTTTGAAGTACCAGGGTATTGACTAAAGGACAAAATTTAGTGGGGTGGGGGAGGGATAGGGAATAAAAGATAATGGGAAATAGCTTTATTTTAATCTACATATATAAAATATAATTCTGATGTTTTTTTAAAAACAAATCCAAATTTGCAAAGCCATAAAAATCAACTTATCATTTATAGTGGGAGTCAGAAGGTGGTTGTAACTCGATTCCATAATCTCCATGGAGTATTCACATTTTTATTGTCTTAAATAAAAATTACAGTTATACCGTCTCTTATTTGCCAGAAAACCCCACAATACTTTAAAGTGGCTAAGGTAGAGAGGCGTTAATGGGCCGCGCCATCTGTGTAGGGCACACCTTTATGGAAAATGTCACTCAGGGATTCTCACAGATGCTTTTCTGCCCAGTTATTTCAGCTTAAATTTTAAAATCACTTCCAATAGATTACCTCCTCTCTCATTTGCCCCTAATGCTTATCTTGGAGTTAGGAATCTTTCCTAGGACATGTGTCTATCCCTGGAGCTTCAGGCCAGCTTGAGATCCCAAAGACTTTTTTTTAAAGTGATTTTCCCATGGTTACATTCTTTAAGTGGCAGAGAATCCTTCATTTTGCTATTAACAAAGACACTTTTGCTTTGCCTTTTTTTAATATCCCTTCTATCATAGAGCTCTGCGCTCTCATGTTGTCCCTGTTGATAACAAAAGGGAAAAGAAAAAAAATCAGGCAGAGAAAACCCCTAGCGATTAGACTCTTTGACTCTCAAGATGAGGGGGCCGTTCCACGTTTTGTCCCTGCGTTGGAGGCTGCAGACTGGTGGTCTGAGAACCAAAGATGGTGCACACAGAGATGTGTGTTGTTTGGTCTACAGCGTTGGCCTGCATGGGGTTTAAAAGACATCATTTTTATCTCTTGTCACATTTCCTAAGGGGAGTTCACATGAAAATCTCCAAATGCTCTCATGATTTGAAACACCTTGGCAGCCCATGACCCACGATTCTACCTGGGCCCTCCCAGCCTGGACCAGAGACTGGGCAGCAGCCCAGGCAACACCTCCYCTCCCCCGCCCTCCTGAATTGGCCAGAGTGATGCCAGGCTTGGCTGCCATTTGTCATCCTGATCACGCTATTGTTCTTCTTCCAGCCTAGAAGTAGCTCTATTACAAGTAGGAAAGGAAAGAGGCCCCTGGTCGAGTTTTCAAGATAGTGGCCTACTTGGCTCCTTTGGCCTACTTGCTGGCCCGAGTTCACAGACTTTCCAGAGAGGCCCTCGCTACTGAGCCCCGCTTTACCTACTCCCTTCTACTGTCACTAGAACCTTCTTTCCCGGTCTGCGTCTGGTAATTCCCTGATGACGACCTAGGAAACAGAACTATTTACGTGTCCTCCTAACATTTTCTGAGTGACTTCCTAGGAAGGCCAGTATTCTCCCCACAAAGATACATTTTTAAGTAAATATAAATTGTCACTGTGACCAAAATACCTGACCAGAAAAACTTAGAGGAGAGGAGATTTATTTTGACTCACAGTTTCATGGGTTCAACCCACAGTCGGCTGGCTGCAGGGCAGACACAGAAAAGCCGTTGAACTCATGGTAGCAGGGAAGTGGGGTGCAGCAGAGCACCCACAGTGACCTACTCCCTCCAATTAGGTGCCCCCCCCATTCAGCTGTCGATGGATAAATTCACTGACAGGTCAGAGCCCCAGGATCCAATCACTGCCTAACGGCCCCACCTTGGAACCTTGCTGTGTTGGGGACCATGCTTTCAATTCATGAGCTTTTAGGGACATTCCAGTTCCAAACCATAACACGAGGTATCTCATTGTGAATGTGTAGTTGTTTTGTGTTTCCTGTTGGGGATTTTTGCTTTCAGATATGTTTTTCATCTTATTGGCATATCTTCTCACTTAGTATCCATTATTGGCTTCAACCAAAGTAGGTGAATTTCCAAACTCAGGTTCTCACGGGGAATGTCAATGAATAGCAGAGACTGTGCTTTAAGGCAGTGAGTTGTTTTGAAATATATATTATATATATGTAAATTTATATATATGTATATGTATAGATATATATTACTGTGGTCAGCTGATTAAGTTTCAAACATCTCAGATCAAAAGTCAGTGAGGTGAAGGATGTTTATTAACTTGATTTGATCATTCCACATTGTATGCTGAGCTCAATGGCTCAGCATATCACAGTGTCCCATAAAAGTATGAAATTCTGATTTGTCAGTAAAAATAACATTAATTTTCAAAAGGCAGCCAAAGCGATTGTCATTTGGCCTTAATATTCGGAATCCAATAGGAAAACGGCGTCAGACTGGGGGCTGCTTGTCCTTTGTGGAGGGCAGTCGCTCCTCGGCTTTGGGCAGCAGTTGGGATGTGGAAATGTGAGTCCCCTTTCTCATGATGGACGACTTGGTCCCTTTTCATTACTTCTCCTTTCTGGTGAGAGTGCTCAGCATTCATTCCCACAACATCCAGAGGGCTCTGCCTGTCTCACTTCTCTCCTCTTTTTCTCCTCTTTCCCATCAGGTGGCAGCAGACTTCCAAGTCTTCAGGTCTGTCCAGCAGCTTACAGCCTGCGGGTGCCAAAGCCGATGCCCTCAGGGAAGAGATGGAGGAGGCTGCCAACAGAGTGGAGATTTGCAGGGTACCTGCCCTCCTTACTCCTCTGACCTGGGGCAGACTGGGGAACCCTCAGGGATTTCCTTTTCTCTTCACTGGAGTTCTCTTAAAACTTATCAGGGAATCTTTAATTGGACTAAATGTCCCCAAACTTGCCTGCCAGCTAGCATCTCCCAGGAGTCCAGGAAGAACCCGGAATCGGGACTCTGATGGTGACCTAGCACTGGATTCTCGTTGGTGACCCTACGTGGTAGGCAAAGAGAAAATGACCTTTGTTTCTGTGGGAAACTTTTGTAAGACATCTGAGTCTCAAAAAAAAAAAAATAATAATAAATTGGAAGCCACACAGGACAGTTGAGAATTTAGACTACCGAGGAGCCTTGCCTCACCATGACACACAATTGTTCCTGTTCTGTCATGTTTCCTAAGTCACCATATGACCCATCCTGTGCGTCCTGGGAGATGAGGACCTCTGGAGTTGAAATGCTAGCCATGGAGATAGTCACAGAGAAAAACTTCCCACTTTCAGGGGACAGTGGGTCATGCTAAGAATTGGGACTGTGCTTGTGGAGTGAAGCCCTACATTGTGCCGAGTCACGATTCCCATCTCCTTTCCCCACACACATCTTGGAGGACTGAATTAGCAGTACACCATTCATGGTTCTCTTGTGTGTGTGTGTGTGTGTGTGTGTGTGTACACATCTGGTTACATGCATATGTGTCAGTTTGGGTTTCCAAGGAGACCCAAACTGTATTTAGATCCAAAAATATCATGTTTCTATAACTCTTCTGGGCTCCTGTTATCTTCGTCACACACAGTTTTAAAGAAAGTAACCACTTTGCATGCAGGAACCCCTGTTCTTTACAACTCTCTCTAGTTTTCTTAGCTTCCGCTTGGCTTATTCTTTTCTAGCCACTCTGTGCAGGTGGCTTTGACTTTGCATTCAGACGACATTCAGAATCGGATAGACTTTCTCTTTGGCATTAGAAACATTGAAAGATTTTTAAAGAATTCATCATCTCCCAGCCTAGCGTTCTGTGGAACTAAGCAAATTGAGGCCAGCACATCAGATGTAGGATGCATTGTGAGTAAAGCAGATTTGTTATGTGAACTCCTGGGTAAATGGCACATATCTAGCTGGTGTGCTATTTCTGAAGTACAATTCTTCTCCCTTTTTGATTTCCCTTTTACTCTGTGTTCTTTAACTATTTACCATAAATAGATATTCTTCAGTTAAGAACATTAAAATATATATATATATATATATATATATATATATATATATATTTATTTTATGTATGTATGTATGTATATATTTTTTCCTATACATGGAATATACAAGTGGAGAGGCTGAATGAGAATGTCCAAATACACCAGAATAAAAATGAGTTACCTTGGGGCTGGGGATGTGGCTCAAGTGGTAGTTCGCTCGCCTAGCATGCGCGAGGCACTGGGTTCGATTCTCAGTACCACATAAAAATAAAACAAAGATATTGTGTCCACCTGAAACTAGAAAATAAATATTTTTTAAAATGAGATAYTTTCATATATTTTTGTGTAGCTTCTTACATTTCCTGTTGTGCCAAAAATATTCTTCTTCAGAGATTATCAAGTAATATATATTTACTATGAGCAATGAAATAATACAAAAATATGTTATGAAAACATCAATAATTCTCTCCCTTCCTGCTCATCAACCCATTTCCAAAGAAGGTGACTAATATCTCTTCCCACCAATATTTTTTAAAACTTCCTGTGATAATATATTCTATTATATGCTGAGTGATCATAATATTTATAAGAATAAAGGAAGCCAGTATTAAGAACCTGTTTACATAGCCCTCCACTCCTTTTTGGACAACCATACCAGCACTTACAAATATATAATGTTATCCTAATTTTGCTGTTTTTAATAATATAGTCATGCTGTTTATATTGTATTAACCTACCATTTAGTTTTCTAAATTAACACCGTATTTAGGACATCTCGCCAAGATAGTGGCTATCTACCTAATGTAACCTTTTTGATAAAGTGCATCATATTCCATGCAAAGGAATACAAACACATACATAGATACACATGTGTACATAGATACAGATGCACACACACATACATATATACACATGCACCATGACTTATTTCAGTATTTTCATATTGAGGGAAATTCAAACTGGTGTTGTTTCTGTTTTTTTTTTTTAATATTGGGGTTTATTTTGACATAATAATGCAAGCATGGACTCTTTAAAAAAATATGTATATATAAATATATATATGTAAATGGACACAATACGTTTATTTTGTTTATTTTTATGTGGTGCTGAGAATCGAACCCAGTGCCTCATACATGCTAGGCAAGCATTCTACCACTGAGCCACAACCACAGCCCTGTTTTGTTTTGTTTTTATCCTTCATCAAAATGATATGGTAAATATCCCTATGTATATATCATTATATCCTGGTAAATTTTTTTTTCTATAGAGTACATATATTCCACTAAATAATATTTTTACTTCAAAGTCTATGCACATTTTTATTTTCAATTTTAGTGGAGATTGACATTCTACTTCTCTGAAAAGGAAATTATAATTCACATTTTTACCATCAATTTTTTTAAAAATTACACACTTCCCCTCATTGAAACCAGTAATGTACAATTTTGGCCAGTCTGGTGGTGTGTGTATGTGTGTGGGGAGCTATGTCTATGTTATCATAATATGCATTAAAAATTAAAATGGAAGTTATGAACATGATTTACCCTTTAGGTAGAAGATACATAATGGTCCAGGTAGGAGCCATGAAATATGCAAATGATGGGTGTATCTTATGTGTTTATTGAACAGTTTACATGTATTTATTGACATTCTCAGTTTGGGAAATTGCCTATATTTATTAGCAGTTGGGCTAATAACTTTTTTTTTTTAATTATCTGTATACTAGGGTCATTAAAACTTTTTTTGTGTGTGTGCTGCATATTTTTATTTCCCCATGTGCCATTTGCCTTTTTACTTTGTTTACTTTTGGCATCTGCCATTAAAAACTTAATCACATAAGTTTATTTCTTTTGGGAAAAGTTTCTACCTCTCCCTTTATGTATCTTCCACCTGAAGAATAAACCACATTCATACTGTCATTTTAACTTTTTAATGCATTTTATACATTTTAAGGCTCCACGCATTTATTTTTATGCATAGCTTAAAATATAGGTGTTTTTTTTGTTTGTTTGTTTTCCTTTTTTCTTTCAGATGGATAGTCAGTTATGCCAGGGGTATTTATTTAACAAACACCTTTCCCAGAAGTGAAGTTCTCTACTCTCCAGTTCCTCAGATTCATTAGTGAACTCTGTGTCCTGTTAATTAATCTCTGGGTGTGTTCCTGGGACAATGGTGCCTAATTCTGTTTTCATGGCTTCATAGCAGATGCAGTCTGGAGTAAGGCAGCGTCACTATTTCTCATAGTTACCTGGGCAAGTCTGTGACATAGACCAGATACCTTGAGAGCACTCACTGTGGGTTTTGCTGAACTTCTCTTCTGACTCATTTCTGCTTCCTTAGTTGCCAGCGACATTAAGTGTCCACTTTGGTCTGCCTCCCTCTGTTTCTGAGTTCATTGAGTGGGACTTCCCTGATCTTTTCATAGTGGTGTATTTTGTTATCAGGTAAGACAAACCTTTGGGGTCTCCTCCTTTGTACAAACTAGAAAAATTAGAACATGTGGACTAAAAATGATGAGTAGGAATCCAGGATTTCCCTTTGTTTAGAGAGAGGAACTCATAGAGAGGAACCCAGATAGGACTCTCCAAATCTTTGGGGCCCAGAGAATCTTAGCCCACCAGGAAGCCAAGTTTGGGGTGAAGGAGGGGTTTTAGAAGACGCCACCTACTGGGACCTCAGTTGGATGGCAGGGGCAGGGTCTCCTACCTGGGTTCTCTGAGCCACCCAGCCAGTCGCTGTCTTGCTTCCATCTTCAAGAAGAGACAAACCCCAGGCCTCTCTACTGGTGCCCACTTTCTCTTTTCTTCCTATGACTACTTATAAAAGTACCCCCAGGGCATCTTGAGAGGGCTAAGACATTGGTAATTTTTCACTAAGAGGGGAGGAAGTGGAGAAGGACCTGTAGTCACCTTTGCTCCTCCATTGTGAGGGTCATGATGGTGGTTTAGTGAAGCCTTCAGACTCGGGATCAACTTATTTGTCATGTGCTCTGACCTCCCCTTTAGGTTAATGATGTGGCTGTGCCCGGCCTCCTCAGTGTCACTACCACCTGGGATCAGGAAGCTCCCAGTGGTGTTTCAGGAAAGTCCACCTTAGTGGAAACTCTGCCACCATGTAGCTTCCTTCGATCTCCTGGGAGAGGTTCTCCTGGAAGAGAAGAATCTCTGTATCATGAGCTACTAATCCTGACTGCTGGTGTCCCCAAAGGCATCAGCCTTTCCCCACCAGGCCCCATAGTCTATAGGGTCCCAAAATTTACATCAGACAGGATTTAGGTTCTGAGAACATTCTGTGTAGGAATAAGGGTCAGGAAAGTGGTGCTCACTATTTTAAGGTGTTTAAAAAAAAAAGTTCTGAATGAATGATTCTTCTGTCTTAGAAAAGATAATAAAAATGTAGTCATCCCTCAGCAACTTGGGCAGATTGGTTCTAGTATCCTGCTGACACCAACATTTGTGGATGTTAAAATCCCTTATATAAAACCTTGTAGTATTATATGACCTGTATTCCTCCTTCTGGGGACTTTAAATAGTGTCCAGATTATGAAACCTAATTTAATGCAAAGACTGTGTACATAGTTGTTATGCTGTATTGTTTATGGGATGGCGATGAGAGGGAAAAAAAAAACTATATGTTCAGTTCAGCTGTAATTTTTTTTACAATATTTTTGATCCATGGTTGGTTGATTCTGTGGATGTAGAACCTATGGATATTGAAGATCAGTTGCACCCAAGAATTCAAACACTATGGAAAAATATTTACTGATGGTCATAATAAATTTCAGACAGCACATCTTGGTGCTCCAAATAAAA